CCACACAATTTGAAGATGATCCTAGATAAAGCTATGGAGCATATATGATGAGGAAAATAGACAGAGGCTTAGAGGAAATGTACTAAATGTTGAAGAAAATTACATGATACTTGGAAAGAAGACAAGGAAAGAGAATTGTCTTAGGATTTTGAGCGTGGCCTTTGCAAAAAATGGTGGCTGGCAAGGAGCAGGCAATCTCCTAGTTAGGCACTACACAACTGGCTATGAGTGATGTCAAGGCAAAGCCGGAGAAAAAGAATATGGGTAACAATTCAGCCACAACCATGCACCAGTTGCCCAAGTCAAAGATAGAGAAAGCGAGGGACAAGATGAAGGAAGAAAGGAAGAAGCTGGAGTTCATGATTGCTGATCTGCTTAAAAGGAAGGAGGCCACAAAAGGGCAATATCAAGAAGGTAAAGGGGATATATGCTCAGTTTAGGTGATTGTGTGTTGTGCTATCATTTACTATGTAAGGTGTATGTGAACTTCAAGTTTCTGTGGAACTTGTTTGAACTGCCAGAAATTTGTATGTGAACCTGTAGTTCCTTTAGTTGATGTAATGCGCTATCTATTGTGATGTGTATGTGAACCTGTAGTTTCCTTTACTATCCTAGCTATATGTGTGCATTGTCCAAAACTATGCATTGTTGTTGTCCAAGAGCTCATAGTTCTACTCTAGTTCCTGGTCTAAACTGTTCTGAAAGTAGACAATTCTAAAGGACATGGAAAAATTGCACATAGAAGTTACATTTACTAACATAAAATTACTAATATAAATTAGTTCAAATACCGGTAGAAACTAACTAATAGTCACCATATTGAAATGCCATGCAAAGACGAATATAAATTAGTGCAATTGTCTAAAACTACATGTCTAAAACTGCTTTCTTCTCAAACTCTATCCAAATTTGGACCGCACTGTTACGGACGAAATTTGAATCACATCAATATTTAACCAACACATTAGTCAACAAAATTTGATTTAGCCCTAGTCTTTGTAATTTGGGGTCAATTTAATCCCAACTACCACTGCATTATTTCTCTCTTTAACTCTTCACCACTTCAGCACTCCATCTATCTTTAATGCCACCAATCCTATTTTTCTAACCACTGCACCATCACTCTCTCTCTTCCTCATCCGCATCATAGAAAAATTCCACAACTATATCTACCTCTTCCTCAACACAGAACACCACCATGGCTAGTCCATCCAGCACATCCAACCCATTCCCCGCCAGTCTGGGTTGGGTGGCCATGATCCTTGGTAGCACGCGCAACGCCCGCGACAAGTTTGTGGAAAACATAGAGATCGACACAAAGGTCGTCAACATCCACGCGCTTGTCGCCATTGTCGACACCGTCGTGGCCAGTGTAATGATGAAGGAGAGTTGCACACGGATCAGTTCTATGGAGATGCAGTAAAGGGTGTGTTTCCAATGAATGTTTTGCTCTAGCAATCAAGGAGATAACCTCCATAACCCAGGGTAGCTTGCTTGGCGGGTAGGGCACTACTCACGTTGCTAGGGAGCAGTGCCAGATGTGGCCCTGCAAGCCAGGTTGTGCAAGGCCACCGATCATCATCCTAGACAAAAAAAGACGAGGTGCAGGAGGAGGAAGAGGAGGTGGAACCACCAGTAGTGGAGCTGGCCATGGTCATCGCACCACCACAACCAGACAACACTATCATGCTAATTGAGTTGGACGCACCGGGATATTGCCATCATGGGTACCGCTGCTCGGCGTGCCTCATTGGTGCACTGCAGTAGCTCATGAAGATTCATGTTCTGCTAGTAGAACAATCAATGTTTTTAAGTCAGCTTCAGTAAGTGTATATGTTTGGACAATGTATGTACAATGTATTTCAGTTTAATGTTCATTTTAAGTATGTGTATCTTAAATTTCAGTTGTAGTCAGTGATATTCGGTACAATCTATGTATCTATGTTAGTTTGTTGTCTAAAGTGATATGTTAGCTGGAAAGTACCAATTTGCTATCCATATGAACATCCTATGTCATTATGCTCTGCTATCTTCTGAACTTCTCCGAAAATGCGTTGTCTGAAATTGCGAGCATGTATGCTATCTCTGTTTGTTAATTGCTGCTTGCAAGCACAAACTAACTTGACTGTAGTTGCAAATACCATTTTGGCATGTTCATATTGGCAGCCACTTTCATGTTCAAATGTAGTAACATGTGCTTATGTATCAAGTGGCCATCACATTTGCAAATACGAATTACAAAAATAATTGGTATCATCTATAAATGTCAAACTAGTGCAAATTTTCATTCATTAACCATATTACAACCATTAGAAAAAGTACCATTGATCATCCCCTAAAACCTTGCCACTTCCAAACTAACACTACATGCCTGTAAAGTACCTCTGTTGCTGCCAGTTTTATAGCTTCAGAACCGTTTGTTTTGACAAACTAAGTAGCACTAGTTCATGATTTCTTCAGAACTAGGAACAGACAGACCACACACAACTCCATCACACTTGCAAACACCACCTTCAGCACAAACAACACTTCTATCCCTAATCCTAACAACATAGCTACTTGTTGCTTGGTCATGACAGGTGCATTGCTCTAACTGTAGCTAATGCAAAAATTGACTTCGCATCAAATGCCTCTGGCTGCAATGCATCTATTGCTACCTACATTCCTCCCCCTCTTACCTCTTGAAAGCTCAACTTCTTTCATTTTATTCTCTTATGCACCAATTACATCAACAACAACATCAACAAAAAGGATATGTGTATTAAAAATATGCTCCACGCACTCTAGCTCACAGCGCCAGAAAATCACAAGTTACCTATCAATCAGAACTTTGCAGCTAGCAGAAATCAAGCTTGGATCGTTGACACGGACCGAATCAGGACTTACACCATGCTTCTTGCACTTGTAAAACACCCAACCATCGTGCTCCTAGGTGGTGGGGAGGTAGAATTTGACCACTTTGCCACATTTAGAACAAGGAGTAAGTGGCACCACAAATGAGCAGCTGCGCTGACCTGACAAGATCGAGCTAGAGGAAGTCATGGTGCAAGAGGTGATGGCGACGATGGCAAGGCTGGCTGGTGATAATGATGATTCAGGCTGGCGTTGGCTCGCGACCTCAGCTGATTTGGGAACTAGGGATTTGGAAGGGGGTGAGCGAGTGAAGAGGCGATACGGTGCGGTGCTGTACGAGGATGAGGATGCGGCGAGGTGCGTGCAGTTTGACCCGTGTGCGGCGCGTTCCAGGGTACGGTGCGTCGCTGTACTGGTTTTCGCATGAAGAAAAAACCAAACTGGACCTAGCACAGAATAAAAACCGTCTATGTTGCATGCCTAGTCAAAACTCAACTGAGGAAAATTTCGCTTAGTAATAATATATGGCACAAAGATGAAAATGGGGGTATAAATTGAAGATTTCTCGAAATTGGGTAAATTCTATCAGTGGGGTGAATCATGGGGTGAAAAATAGAATTAAATCTATTATATTTGATTATGTATATTTGTTGAATATAAGTAGAGTAATTCAGGCGTGGACGATGGGCCAGTTCTTTTAGGCGATTCTCCCAGAATCGCCCCCTCCCCAGCTTCTTCCAGAATCATCACTTCATATTTTTTTTACAATCCTAACTAATTAGACCTTAACTAGATAGGATTGTAAAAAATATATATATTGGCGATTCTGGGAGAAGCTAGGGAGGGGGGCGATTCTTGGAGAATCGCCCAAAAGAACTGGCCCGATGAATGTTGTGGTGGGTCTATTTCTATACATGATTGGATGTTGAGGTTGTCTTATCCTATTTTATAATTGTATATGGTCCGGTGACATGCTTGCATTTGCATGTCGAGATAAATTCGCTAACGAGATGACTCTCTAATATTCCACCGCAAAAAAAAAAAGAGATGACTCTCCAATCTATGTACAGGATTTCAAAAAGGTGGTTTCAACATATAGTTCACATGCACACAAGAACACCTTTGGGAGAATGGACGTACATATTTTCATAAATCGCATGCAGAAATACAAACACGGGCGGCCGGGTGGGTGCATACGTACGTAGATACATCAGGAACACTGTTGCACCTGCCGTGGGCTTAAATGATTGGGGTCACTCACCGCCACCGGTCAGGTCGGTCTCCGTCTCCTCACTCACTCACCCGCCCGCATCATCAAAAAGCTAGCTACAGTAGCTAGCTAGCTCCCCCCAGCTCAATTCCGTCCCCTCACCCCCACAACAGCTTTCCCACGGCTCCCCTTCCCCCTCCACCCGTGTCACGGCTATCTACCCACCTATATACACGCACCCCCGCACACCCTACTGCCCCTCCTCCCTCTGCTCCTCCTCCCCTCGCCACCACACCCAATCGCCCGCTCGCTCCCCCGGCTCGGCAACGATCGATCTCTCCTTCTACCCGAGCTGCTCCGTCGTCCGGACGGCGCCGTCGACCGCGCGCTTGCCAGGTAAGATGTGTGGTCGATCTTCCTCGTACTGTAGCTCCGGGCCCTCCGGCGGCCAGCGGTTAGCTGCTGGTTGTGCGGCTGAGGTGACCGCGGTCCAGCGGGTGCGCGCGCGCGTGTGTCAGTTTCTTGGCTGATGCTGCTGTGCTGCAGCGGCCGAGCTCAGATTCAGGCCGTCTTGGATGCCACGCTCTGGTCCGGGCCTGCACCGTACTTCAAGCTAGCTCAAGACCAGCTGCTGCTGATCCACTTCGATTCCCCCTTTGGGAAACCCTAGAGTCAGATTTTCGTGCGCCCTCGAGAAACATGGCGTGTACAGCTACAGGCTCTGGCTGATGCTTAGCTTGATTCGTCAGCTCACCATGAGCTGAGCTGAAGGACCGACCAATGAACCATGCTGCGAACTGATGAGCAGCTAGCTCACTGGCTGGCTGCTGATTGATAATTAAGATGCTTTTGGTTTTAGGCAGCTCTGTGTGACCGCGTGTACTAACGGGCGGCCGTCTCGCATGCAGATCTGAAGTCAAAGGAGGAGAGGACGGACATGCAGGGAGCGCCGGTGGACAGCCCGGGGGCGGCGGAGGCAGCGGCGCGGCCGAGCCGGTACGAGTCGCAGAAGCGCCGGGACTGGCACACTTTCGGGCAGTACCTTCGCAACCACCGCCCGCCGCTGGAGCTCTCGCGGTGCAGCGGCGCCCACGTCCTCGAGTTCCTCCGCTACCTCGACCAGTTCGGCAAGACCAAGGTCCACGCTCCAGGCTGCCCCTTCTTCGGCCACCCTTCCCCGCCGGCGCCCTGCCCGTGCCCGCTCCGCCAGGCCTGGGGCAGCCTGGACGCGCTCGTCGGCCGCCTGCGCGCCGCCTTCGAGGAGCACGGCGGGCGGCCCGAGGCCAACCCGTTCGGCGCGCGCGCCGTCCGCCTCTACCTCCGCGAGGTGCGCGACTCCCAGGCCAAGGCACGCGGCATCGCCTACGAGAAGAAGCGCCGGAAGCGCCCGCCGCCGTCGTCGTCCCAGAAGGCGGCCAAGGCCGCGCCGTCCCCACCCCCACCCGCCTCCTCCCATGTAGCAGCGCCGCCCCCAGAGAGCGCGCCGGAGGTCCTCGTCGCGCGGGCCGTACCCGCGCAGGGGCACTACTTCATCCCGCACCCGCAGCACTACATGCACGCGCATTTCCTGATGCCAGGCGGCCACGACGCAGACGCCGCCGTCCCGAACAGCTCCAGCGGCAACAGCAACGGCCACAGCAATGGCCACAGCGGCGGCACGGGCGACGAGATGGCCATAGCGATGGCGGCAGCGGCGGAGGCGCACGCGGCGGGGTGCATGCTGCCGCTCTCCGTGTTCAACTAGCGAGCTTTCCGGCCGCACCCATGGATGCGATCCTAGCAAAAGCAATCGCAAGGTAGGGCTTAAGTAAGTTAATTCGGAGGTCTATATATCTAGCCGTAATCTTGATCGATCATTGGAACGATGGAAGGATGAGTGTCATCGATCGATCGATGAACGTACTATTGTTCTTCTTACCAACACTATTCACCCTTTTGGCTACATTTCCTGCTGGGAGCTAGTGGTGCTCCTCCTCCTTGCTACTGTAGGGTTTCTACTTTCTAGCAGCGTTCGTGCATGCTTGGTTGATTTGTGTATGCAGATATAATTAATCCAAGGCTCGATTGAAATGTCAAGGGGATTTCCACTGCTAGAATGTGCACTGCTGATTGATTGATTCATGGCTCCACGTATTTAATTTGTTGCGTTCTTCCTGTTGTCGAACAGATCTTACTGATGTGCTGCTAGGATTTTAATTTGTTCTTATGACTAGCATTGCATGACATTTTCTGCAGAATTTTGCGTCATCTGTATGTTTCATCTTTCTTTTATTTGCTTTGATTTCTCGTATGCTTTCACTGTATATTTCTGTATTTATGGGCAAGAAAAATTCTTGATTCATATGATATGATGTTGGTTGCGTGCTTCCAATTGGTTTGCACGTTAGTGATCAAAAGGATATTGAATTTATATGATAAATCTTGCATGCATTTGCATAGAAAATCCGCACGGCTACCATTGAAGTCTTTGCACATTTCTTCATTACAAGTGGGGCCTAAGACCATTTCCGATGCATCTTCTCTTAACACCATATCTTAAAACATGTTAGATGTTTGGATACAACTATCTGGATGCATTGTATCTGACATAGGTTTGGTATTTTATTGTAGACCCTACTTTTATTAAGATTACTTGAGTCTAATTGGATGGTATAATGCGAGAGTTAATAATATACCAAATTGGTTTGCGGGTGGAGACCGTATCTAAGATAAGAGACAGTTCTATCATGTGTTGCCATTAATTATACGCCAAACAAAAATCTTACGTATGTGCTGGGCAAAGAGACGGTGCACTGGTGAAGCATTTGGAGCGGCATAAAGTTTACTTTACAGTTTTCAACGCTGTAGATAACCATAGGACGATATGCCTATAAAAGTTAAAATAGACCTCACAACTTGTGTCTTGTGTGTAAGATATAGACAACTTACCTACAAGAGGAAAATTATCGTTTGTATGTGCTCTGTAATAACTAAAAATTTCTGTGTATAATAATACTCCCTCCATTCCAAAATAACTGGTTTTAGTTCAAATTTGAACTAGAACCACAAACCCAGAATAAGTGGTTTTGGTTCAAATTTGAAATAAAAACCATGTCACTTATTTTCGAACGGAGGGAGTAACAAATAACGACATCATCTCATTTCATTCTCTTCATTCCACCTTTCAGAACTCTAACGAAGCTCCTACATCTAGCTTCATTATTGTACATGACTTAAGAAGAAACTATCATCCCTACACGTTGACGTGGCATATCTAGGGGCTCCTTGATTTTTATAATTTTCAACATTTCGAGTGTAGACCTCTTGTAAATAAGATAATTAAACTGTTTCTGCCACCTGCTGGAAAGACATTTAGTGAAAACTCACTTTATTCACATCAATTTTTTCTGCGAAATACTCCCTCTGTTCCCAGATATTTGTCTTTCTAGAGATTTCAACAACTGACGACATATGAAGCAAAATGAGTAAATCTATACTCTAAAATATGTCTACATATATCCGTATGTTGTAGTCCATTTGAAATGTTTAGAAAGACAAATATTTGGGAACGGAGGGAGTAGGACATTTTCATTCAATCGATATATCGGGGCGATACAACTACACTGAGCGAATGGCAGACCTCTGCATAACACTGTGTACACAACCAACATGTTCCTTAAACTAAGAAGAATAGTTATCCTGCAAGTCAAAAAATGTTTGAAAACACGTATTGAGGGTCATCCATGGTATCCATAAATACACAAAACTAGATTATACCTCTCCCAATGTTGCCGGAATTATTAGCAATACATATTATTGATATTTGGTTGTACGAAACATAAACACTTGGAGAAAATATGAGAGTTAAAACTGAAAATACATTTGGTTTAAAGTATTTATTTATAGTACAGTTGTAAAATATTTATAATTTTGAATAGCAGAAACGAATGAAAATTCCCATGCATATTCTCATGTTGAAGTGAGCCTTTCTTATAAATGGTTGCATGTTTGAGGTGGACTTTTTCCCATGCAAGTTGCATGCTGAGGTGTCATGCGTACGTATTGAGATAAATAGGTTAGTGAGAGCTAGCTATTTAGATATAGATGATTAGAAATTAAACATCATAAGATGTAAGATAAGCTCAAATTTCTTAGGGGCTACTTAGTATGCCAGTGTGTCTTAGGGGTTACTCAGTATACCATTGGTTAATTATGAATTTGAAGCATTAGATTTTCTATTTAGCTTTCATAAGGTAATATATTTCTCAAATTTTGGTGCTCGAAGCCCTACAAAAAACATAGAAATTCTTTCCTTTCCTTTGCATTTATTGCATGATTTCTGTATAATATAATAAATTCTTCATAATCTGTTAAGCAGAGTCATCTTTTTTTTTTACTTGATACGACTGGTCATCTTTTTTCTTTTGACTTGATATTACTAGTCATCTTACTACTGAAGTTAGCGTACGCGTGGCATAAATTGTGAATGTGGGTATGCACGACAGGTGTGGTTGACAATCTTGAAAGGTTGCACATGTAAGATAGTTGTGGATCATTATCAGTTAAGCAGAATCTATGTCAGAAATCAGAGAGTTGTACCATGACTAGAATCAATAGCAGAGTCTATCTATATCGAGCTGAAAAGTTTGAAAATCATGATGAAACTAGCACTCCCTCCGTGAAGAAATATAAGAGTGTTTAGATCACTAATGGATCTTTGCATTTGTGTGTGTGCGCCCGCGCGCCCGCCAATTTTTTTCCATCTGGTGTACTTTGCCAAGTTCAAAGTTTGGATCATTTGCTAAAAGAAATTGACGTCTATTTTGCGCACGTTCGTCTCAGTGGCCCATTGACCTCCACTACTCCCTTTCCTCGAATCCCAACCGCAGGCACGGATCCACAGATGCAACGCAACTACTTTGTCGGCCGAGGGGATTGACAGACGTCCGGTGGAACAATTTCCATCTCAAATGAGGAAAGGAACGTATCATGGTCAATGCTCAACGGCAGTATAATTTGTCGAAATGTTGGCGTGTGTCTTCCCGCCGAGGCCGTGGAACACCTACTAGATCATTGTGGCTGATGGGGTGGGAGCCCGTCTGCTTTCCTTGTGGCTGATGATTAGGGCCAAATGGGCAATGGATTCCCAAATCATTTGATTCCTGAAGAGACCGGACGGAGAAACACGAGGGTACGCACGCAGCACTGTTCTTCTTCCTCTTTTTGCGAGGGTGGCACTCATTAACCGGAGGAAAAAGAATCGGTCTTTTGGTATACCACGTCCAATCGGTCGCCAGCCTGTGGCCGGTGAATTCTCACTAGATTGTTCGCCGGATTGCTCACACTGGGGTACCCGTAGCTAGCTAGGTAGGATAGGTGCACACTGCACAGTGGCCTGCCCAGGCCAAGTCGATGTCACATCTGATGAGTGAACTCCAGTCCAGGGCGCAGTAGCGAAGTCTCTCATCTGGTAGTTTGGTACATAGTACTAAGGCCAACTCCACCGCACGATCCCTAACGGACGTCCGTTTTGTCCGGTTTCGGTCCGTTTGGGTAGGGATTTAGGGTCGTGTCCGGGCCTGTCCTGGGTTGCGGTGGCCGTGCGCCCAGCGCGCGGCCGCATCCATTTGCCCCATCCTGTCCGTGAGGGCCAAAAATGCCTAAATTTACATCAAACTAGTTCCAACCCAAATGTTTGTCTGAAAATTAAAATAGTTTTACAACCCAATTGAAATTGTCTTAAATAAAATAGTTTTACAACCAAATCGAAATTGTCTTGACTGAACATAAATTGGACCAATACATCTATTGGTTGTCAATGTGATCCCAGACGTGCTCAACCAAGTCATTTTGAAGATTCAAATGAGTGTGCCAGGGAGTGGGGTGTTTGTCTAAAAACGGCGACAAAATTTATCCGGCTTGAAGAGCGGGGTGTTGGCAAAGTAATCGGCATAGAGCAGGGCGTGGCCTCTCTCCCTGTTGCGGTTCAGGTTGGGAGCCTTGCCAGGGAGTGACCCCCTGTACCGAGGAAGCTGCCGTTGAATATGGTCGTTCACGACCAGTACAAAGGAAGTGATGGAAGAAAAACTCGTCTCCACTGTCCATACCTTTGTTGGCAAAAGGTCGAACACCTTGCGGTCGCGGTGGCGAAGCGGCCGCGATGATCACCTCGACGTAGCAGGGGTGGTTGCCGGCCGGCTACTGGCCGCTCTGGAGCTCTCATCGAAATCTGCCTCGGCCGCCGTGGTCCGTCGCTGGCAGTCGTGTCCCCTCCGGCACCGGCAAGGACGGCGACGGCCAAAACTACGGCGAAAGCGCGGGCGTGGTGGCGGCCATGTCCAGACGTGGTTTGTTATGGACGGCGGGGGGCCTGCGCGGTGAGGAGGCGGCCGAAGAATACGGCGGTGCAGGTGGCGGGGCGGGGCGGGGAGAGAGGGTGAAGCGTTGGGAAGCGGAGGGACTGCTAGTGTCCCCGACAGGCGGGCCACGGGGAGGGGGGCAAGGGCGTGCGTCGCGGTCGTCCGCACGCGTCCGTTTTACCCCAAACCGAGCGCAAGTTTGGGCCTGGGATGGGTCGAAAACAGACGAAATCCGGACATTTGTACGTTTGAGGCCGTGTGCTGGGCCGCCTCTTTTGTCCCTTTTACCCCAAACGGACGGAGCCGGACAGGATAGGGTCGCGCGGTGGAGTTGGCCTAAGGCCAACTCCACCGCGCGACCCCAAACGGACGTCCGTTTGGGTAGGGGTTTGGGGTCGTGTTCGGG